CTTATATTTTTTATTTATTTCTGCACCTCGTGGCATGTCAAGGCAGCCAATTGAATTGAGGAGAGGGTGAGACCAACCACGGAAGAAGAGAAAAAAGAAAATGAAGAGCACGTACACAAAGTGGGAAGGGATTAGCAACTTACAAAGCAATGAGATTCTCAGCGAGCTATGCAGCGGAAGTGGGGACTGACTTTGTTTACTGGGAGATCATGACTGAAGTGCTGTCTGACGAGGGTACGGAATTTGGGCATATCTGCAGCTTGTCTAACACTGGGAGGCAGCTGGAGCCACGTGGAGTAGGAGGAAAAGAAAGGGGAAATTACGAATAGGGTAGACCTAGCTAGGGGGAGACGAACGCAGCTTCGGGTGGTGCCACCTGAATTGAACCAATTAAGGGACTGTAAATGAGCAGGGTGCTGGTCAAGAAAAATTGAATGTGCCAGCATGCACTTGGAAGCATCAAGGCAGTGCTGCAGAGTGGTAGTGAATGATGCGCCAAGAGGAGCCAGGTGTTGAATGTGGTTGAGTTGGTTAGGGATGTTGCTCGCGATAAGGTTTAGACAGCTGCCAAGTCCATTCGAGCGGAGGTGGGTGGGAAAGGTTACCGATTGGGTCAAATTATAGCATTAGAAGAGGTTCAGACCCTGTGCATCCGTTTGGTCAATTGAGCACCAGCCGGAATACCTACAGTTGAAGTCGCCTGATATCACAAAGGCTTCGGGCTTCCTTTGAGTTGATATTGTTGTTGTTGTTGTGTTTATTTTAATTCGCAAACCAAACGGGCAGATCTGCCCAATGAAAAGGTGGCGAATGCAGATAGAAAGCAATAATAAATGAAATTGGGGACTGATGTAATTAGGATAGAGGTGGAGAAAAACTAAGACAGCTGATCATCAAACAGGACGTTTGGTACTCTAGGTACTAAGGATTGCAGGGCTATTTGGAAGCGGTCGAGAAAAGTCGAGAAGTCATCCGTCAACGGGGAAGGATCTAGGTCAGAAGGTGAGACAAGCTTATGTTAAGCGAGTGTAAGCCGAAGTGCTAGCGCTTCCAACTTCGTAGACAGGCGCCTAACAGTATGGACTGTATTTATAGCCATTTATCTCCTTTCTTCCTGTTGTTTAATTAATGGCCGGCGTGTTTTCACCGCCATATTGCCAGGTGCGTGTTTACCACCATAATTATGAAGAAAGTAGTATTAGTTGTGTGAACAGGACAGTGTTATTGCACACTGCAATGCAGTGTGCAATATAAGATACGGTGCAGAGTGCATAGAGCGAAGGACCAATCAGTAGTAATCACTGTTGCCTTGTGCAGGGTTCAGCTAGACTTGTCTTGTGCATGGCACAAGACCATGCAACCATCAAACAGGCAGCCTTTGCCTGCTCACGTCTCAATCTTCGGGAGGTAGCTATTCGTCGTTGATGGGATATTATCGCTGTCGGTTGTCTTTCGCGCTGCTACGTTCCGCTGTATTGTGTGTCCGGGGTGCTCGGTCGGCCCGTCACCGTCCAGTTCACATGCTTCGTGAGTTGCGATGGTGGAGGGTCGGGTTCCCCTCCCGTGATTAGTGCTGCACCGAGCTTGTATTGTGTGAAAGTATATTATTATTCTTATATTTTAGAAGTATTACAAAATAATTGAGAGGCTTGAATCGTTTTTATCAAAATCTAAATATTTGCCGGGTTGGAAGGTGGGACCAAAAAACATCAAACAGTCAGTGAAACAGCAATGACTGCCAACGTTCAACATTAAATTGTGTGACTGATATCGGGAAGAATGAACACATCGTTTACAAAACTTTACATGCCTGTACTAAGCCATTCAGGGGAGCCTCGAGGGGGGGGGGGGGGGGAGGTAGGTAGAAGGTAATAGGATCACGTGCATGTTTACTAGTGTAATGGAGACAACTCTATAACTACCGAAATGTCTTTCAACTGTTACTTCAAGACTGCCTTTGCTGATGGTAGCGACGTGTCGCTGAGGCCGACCGTTGCCTTCCAAGTTGGGTACTTGTTGCTTGGCGTTTCCCAAGACAACTTTAGTAACAGTTGTCGCCGAGGCCGTCTCTGGCACCCTGGTCCGTCTCCTACCGTCATCAACTACAACTTCAAATAGTTCAATTACTTGTCGTAACCTACATTCCTAGTACTTGAAAGTAACAGCAACTAACTGTCCGGAGAAGTGTCATTGTACCGTTGTACATAATTGTATGACTTTTTGTGTACAACATGTATACTGTGAAGAAGAGGTTGGTGCGACTTCGGCGATACTTGGGGAATTGTGTGTTGCTCCCTACGTGTGAGCTTGCGCTATTCCTGCCGACTTGAATTCTGACTTGACTGGCTCACGACTGCCATCCAGAGCACACGATCTACGAGAAGTCCATCGAACCTTCCACTCGGCAAACCTGCAAGAAAGCACTACTCCCTGCTCAATACACAGTGTACTGTTTCGGGGAATTCACCCATCATCAGTTGAGCTTCAAGCCTTGAGTAGGCTGAGGAAGATTGTGCCTGAAGAGCACCACCTACATAGTGCTCTCCAGGCACAAACACCATAATTATCACCAGGCATACAAACTTGCGGAGACGTTTCTAGCGCGACAAACACCTCGTGAACACCACATGGCAGCGTGAGTCAGTGTCGCTCATGGAGGTGCTGAACAAACAATGAGGACCGTTGGCCATTCACAACGTTGTTACCTCTAAACCATCTAATTCGCAAGCCCGCGCCGGGGACAGCAATGTGAAGAAGAGGTTGGTGCGACTTCGGCGATACTTGAGATACAATGTATGTATACTGCTCTCCACATTGCCATTCGTGCATGGAGCACTCTGCTTCGAGCCGCCTCGACCGGCCTTCTTTGTACATGTAGTATTGTACTTCTGAAGTAGTCACAGTGCAACTGACCCGTTACGTTCATAGTATTGGCTTTTCTATTTTATTCACTCGTTTGAGGGAAAGACACAAACGGGAAAAGTCTGAAGTAAAAAATTGACTGTCACCACCAGGATTCGAACCAGGGACCTTCGGTTAAGGCCAGCGATGCTCTAACCGCTGAGCTAAGGCGCAGCCATATTCTATTTTTAATATTCGGTGTTTACTGGGGTGGTGCCACTCACAAGTGTGTGTGTACAGTGTAACTATTACTGCAGTACTTATATTTATACCATGGTATAACCAGCTACACACTGGCGGTGTCGGCACTGTCGGGCTGGTTTCAATCACAGGTTGCATTTTGCGTTTGAGTGCTGCAGGAAGCCTCGAAGGCCTCAGCACTTCTTCAATACAGTAGTCTTTGTTTTCCTATTAGTATTAGTAACATTTTTGCCCGTAAAAGAGGCTCCATCGATTGCAGATGCGGTACCGGCTAGACACATGTACAGTCATAATTATTATTGTTACGTCATTGTTAGATTGACAGCATGTGAACTATAACAAGATTTATCTAATAGTAATACTAGTTTTGAACTAGTATTGGGTTATATAATACCATACATGTACATGCATATTGTCAGTGTGTCTAGCACAAACTCTCCCCACACCAAGTACGTGTACGTGTACGTGTACCGACCACTACCCATCTTTACCTTTATTATTATTATTATTATTATTATTTTAAAACGAAGGTAAGTTATGGGTCGCAAATATCCACGCAAACACACATCCAGTCATAATAAGGCACTTGTCATAAGTATCCGAACGTTTTCGGTCCCTTCTCATCAAGGATTATACAGGGAATGGCTCAAGCTGGAAAGACTAAAACTTATATAGCGTAAAGATAATTAGATAACAACACTCGTGACAAGGTGGACAATTATCAAGTTTAGCACGACACAAAACTCGAAGGAAAATAATAATAGTGACAACAACATAGTGAGCAAATTAAGTTACATTGTTACCACCTCGACGAGGAGTAACACCAAACAATTGTAGCGACAACACATTTTCTTTCTGTACGCAAAGTTCAGGATCTAACTTACGGATGTACAAAGCTTCTAACACAGCCAAATGTAACGCACATCTACCACGTGACAATATTGAGAAAACATTATCACTGTACAACTCACGACAATTGGTACGGGCTGACAGATGTTGCTTGATTGACGAAGTGCGATTCTTAGCTCCATTGGGTGTTGTCTCCTCCAATGTCCCGTCATCTCGCCTCTTCGTGGCATCACCACTATCTGTCTCTTCGCGTTTCCGCGGCCTTCCACGTTTCTTGACACTAACCGTTGGGTGCGCGATACCCGGTGTCCTTTCCGTTACGTTTTCCACCTTGTCACGAGTGTTGTTATCTAATTGGAAAGGCTTCCTGTCTGAAGCCTTTCCATACTGGTACTCGATGTTCCGGTTTTGTGACACGAGAATGGCACGAGAATTAGTGTACCGCTGAGTGTACCGCTATACACGTGGTCGACACGTAGTCGACACGTTGTTGATACTTTTTTGACACGTGACCCTGTCAACGGTCTGCTTTGTGCCAATGCCACTCGGTAAACGCCGATGTCGCGTACGACAAAGACGACCATCCCGTACGCGAAATAGTTGAGAATTGCATGACGTGGACCTGACGGCAAGGACAACTGCGAGGAGGCCCCTTTCGGTACCCCTGACGGGAAGGAGAACTGCAGAAGTCGACGAAGTCGAACGAGGAGGCCCCTTTTCCGTACCCCATATACTGCAAAGTGCCATTGATGGATAACTTTTGCACCTGGAACGACCCCTTAAACGCTGTCGCGGCGACTATCCCGTAGTCTTAGATCTACGCGAAATAGTTGAGAACTGCTGCCGTGGACCTTTTGCACCTGGAACGGCCCCGTAAACGCTGTCGTGTCGGCGGAGTGAATGTGCAGGGTACTAGGGTGAAAAGAATTGCTGCAAAGACGTCCCCTCTACTAGGCTCTAGGCCTTTGCCTTTGGAGACATCGTCGGCGAACTGAATGCGCAGGGCGAAAAGAATTGCTGCAAAGACGTCCGCTCTAGGCCTTTGGAGA